GGGTTTCACCATGTTGACCAGGATGGTCTCGATCTCTTGACCTCGTGATCCACCCGCCTCGGCCTCCCACAGTGCTGGGATTACAGGCTTGAGCCACCGCGCCCGGCCGTAAAGTGAATTCTTAACTTACAAATCAGTTCTGTCCTCAGTCTAAACTCCCACAAAGGCTTCATTATGGAGCTCCAGCTCCTAACAGGGCATGGAAGGCCCTCCATGGTGAGGTCCCCACTGATTCCTCCAGCCTCACTCCTCTGACTCCTGCCCTCACTATCTTGTAACACACGGCTCATGGCACAGCACATATGATGCAGTTTCCAGCCTCCATATTCTGCTCAGCTGTCCCCCGCTCTTCCTGTGTAGGAAGTTTTCCTGACACCCCACCAAGACCACCACCACAAAGTCGGAATCTTTTCTGGGCATTCCTTTTTTTTTTTTTTTTTGAATCAGTCTCCCTCTGTTACCCAAGCTGGAATGCATCGATGTGATCTTGGCTCACTGCAACCTCTGCCTCCCAGGTTCAAGTGATTCTCGTGCTTCAATCTTCTGAGTAGCTGGGACTACAGGCGTGCACCACCAGGCCCAGCTAATTTTGTATTTTTAGTAGAGACAGGATTTCACCATATTGGCCAGGCTGGTCTCGAACTTCTGACCTCAATGATTCATCATCCTTGGCCTCCCAAAGTGCTGGGATTACAGATGTGAGCCACCACGTCCCCAGCCATTTCTGGGCATTCTTGACATAACCTGTGCATTCTCCACCAGGGCACTTATATGGAAATTAGAGGATTTATTCAACAAACATTTATTCAGTGTCTTCTGTGTACCAGATAATTGCACTAGGTGTGTGAATACAAAGACTAACTTGATGTGGCCCTCCACCCCCAGTAGCTTTATCCAGTTATATTTATTTATTTATTGAGAGAATTTCACTCTTGTTACCCAGGCTGGAGTGCAGTGGCATGATCTCAGCTCACCACAACCTCCACCTCCCAGGTTCAAGTGATTCTCCTGCCTCAGCCCCGAGTAGCTCGGATTACAGACATGCACCACCACACCCGGCTAATTTTTGTATTTTTAGTAGAGATGGGGTTTCTCCATGTTGGTCAGGCTGGTCTTGAACTCCCAACCACAGGTGATCTACCTGCCTCAGGCTCCCAAAGTGTTGGGATTACAGGTATGAGCCAGCACACCCGGCCCAGTTGTATTTTTAAATGATCATTTTTGAGCTTTTCCCATCTAGACCATGGACTCTCCAGAAACAGCAGCGGTGCTTGACCCCTTCTGTATTCTCAGTGCCACGCCCGATGTCTGCATATAGTAAGGTGCAAAACAGAGGAGAGGAGTGGGGGCAGGTGGGTCCGGACCTCCAAGAGCAGAGGGGCTTGTGGTCACTGGACTCTGGGGCAGTGCCTAAGAGCCCCCACCTCCAGGCACACTCACATTTGTGTCCTTTTTGCTTTGCAGGGTCTCGCTGGTGCTCACCCTGCCTCCTGTTAGTGTGCAGTGAGCCATAGCAGGGAGCCTGGGTGCACTGCTCCCCTGGTGCTCTTGGGCATGCTCAACAAACTTGCCTAGAGTATTCAAGGACCTAGCAGTTGTGGGTCCACATCTCTCATGGGCATCTCTACAGAGCTTTTTCAGCAAGTGTTCCCTCCTAGATTGTTCAGTCTCCCAGGTTATGATGAGCTGTCACAGATAGAGTTAGGGGACTGATGGATGGGGCGATGGTAGACAAAGGACACCACGTGACCTGAAATACTGGAACTGTCTCCACACCCTGCCCTCTGCCCACTTTATCTCCACTGAGAATGGAATACAAGTATAACCCTAGCTCTATTCAATAAGGGTTTCTGCAGGTTCTGGATGCCCCCGCCTCTTCAGCAACCCACACTTCCTCCATGCATTCATTTCTTCACTCGTTCAACAAACATGTGAGCACTTCCTTGCCCCGCTATTTTGTGGGGATATGATAGGTCTGCCCCAGTGCTGAGTGTCAGAGTTCAGAAAGGCAGGAGGGCCCCTTACCCAGGGCTTCTCTCCCCCACCCCACCCTCAGTGCCCATTCCTGTAGGCACTCACTGTGTTACAGTGAGTCACAGGAGTCCTTGTTCCTTGTTCCTGAGGACAGTAGGAACACCCCACCCAGGACATCAGCAGAGCTGGGTGCCCGAACATCTTCCAGAGGGCTCCCACATCCCACTACCCCCAAGAAATCTTCTGCAAACCACATGTCATCGCTTTAATACTGTGTAATACTTTTTTTAAAATACAGTCTCTTCTGAGGTAGACAGACCACAACTGCAGAGCATCGTCAGACAGGAGATAAATACGTCCATGTACAACACGCAGCAAAATGAGGTAGAAATGGTTACAGTGGGAGGAGAGGATCCCAGCCCCAGTCTGGGTAGAAGAAGGGGGAGGGGCCAGCTTGGAAGTTGCCCTCCCCACTTCCTGCCCCTGGATTCTTTGGTATGCCCCCCCAACATTGCCAGAACTGGACCAGCCCTTCCCCTACCTGCCCCAGTGCCCATGAGGTAGGTACCACTAGGCTGGGGGGGTGTCCTTGTGCAAAGATCCCCAAGCCTGGGGAACAGGAGGAGCCTAGTAGAGGAAGCAGTGGGGACTCCACCTCCCAGAGCTGCCTGCCTCTTGAAGGGAAGGCTGGGATCCCCTCCCCAACTTCCCTGACACCCTCCACCCCCCACCCCCCCAAACATACACACCTGAGAGAGAACCCCTCACTCCATGCTCCCTCCGAGGGTCTTTTGCAGCCTGCAGCTGTGATCCTGCAGCCCACTGCTTCTGAGGCACGCCCTGCAGCTGGCTGGCTCCAAAGAGAGGGGGAAGGGAAGCAGGGAAAACAGAGCCAGCACAGGCCCTGGGTGCCAGGGTCCCTGAAACGTCACCCACAGACACCCTCCCAGCCAGGAGGGGAGGCAGTAGCCTCTGTAGGAAATGTACGGGCGGGCAGGGAACTGGAAGGGAGGCTGAGGTGGGAGAGAGAAAAAGAGGTGGGGAGGGCGTGTCCCCCACTTTGGACCAAAGATCAGAGTTGTGAAATGGGCTGGGGTGGGCTGGGGAGCAAACTGCTAAAGCCTCTCTAAGGGAAAATTGGTGGGAAGGAGAGGAATGTGGTTCTCAGAGAGAAGGGCTCCAAGCCTGGTGGAAAGTTCAGGCAGGACTGAGACTAAACCCCCCAGATCAAAGGAAATGCCCTGTCCATCTCCCTCCCCTCTCCCAGCTCTGGAGGTCCAGACCTAGGACTCCAGGGGAATGAGGGAGGCATGTTTCCTCACAGAGCCCCCTCAGTAAGGGATGCTCATCCCTCCTCAGAGCCTCCCGCAGAGGCGGCTGAGGTCCAGTAGCTGATTTTGTGGCCAGACTGTTTTCCCAGATGGAATTCTCCTAGCATAAGTCATTGGGGACCTCTGCCAAGGCGGGGCCAGGTGATGTGACCTCTCTGGAGACTTTCTGCTTAGGTCACCCTCACATTTGGGCCCTCCCAGCCTACTTTCTGGGTCTCAGGAAGTACCTGGGCAAAGGCATCCTAACTCTGGATAGCCCTTCACAGAAAACACTCAGCGGAGGGGTGGGAGTGGGGGAGGGGGCGGGGAGCAGCAGGAGGGAAATAAGGCCTCCCCTCTCTCAAACCCCACAGCCCACTCCCCACACTCATGCCTAGGCCTTGGCCCTGGGAAGGAAGCCCTTAGGAATACATTCTGCTTCTGCCCAGGAATAGCTAGGGTTTCACTGAGGCCTCTGGTCTTCCTCTCCCCTTCCCCATAAGTCCCATTTTTTTGAGTGTCTGGGAGAATTTGCTCCCCTGAATGGAGTGGCGGGGGCGAGGGCAGGAGTAGAGGGCACAGAGGAGAGCAGCCAAAGTCTAACATTCTTTCTGAGGTCAGTTTCTTCCTGAGTTGTCAAAATAAAAACAGCAAATTCTACACATCTTACAAAAATAAAAAGCCTAAAATATGAAACAAGCTACATTTCTGGGATCTCCCCTCAAAAACAAAAAACTTCCCTTCTTTGGGGAATTTTTTCCTTGATCCCTAGACCCTAGGTTTCAGATGGGTAAGAGGTAACCCTCCTCCCCTCCTCCTCAGCCCCTGGGCCTCCAGAGCTCCTGCAAAGGGCCACTGGAGTCCAAATGAGAACAGAAGGCAGAAAGAGGCATTAAAGCTCAGGGACCAAGAGGCCCAGGGATGCTGGAGAGCCAGGGATGGAGAATGAAGTACAGAAGGTGAGGGATGGAGAGCTGGGGAGGGAGGGAGAGAGGGAGGGAGGGGCAGGAGAGAAACAGGGCCAGCATGGGGGGCAGGGGTGTAAGTGACAAAGCAAAGGAGAGAAAACCAAGAGAATGCAGAGAAAGGGGTGGAGAGAATGAGGGAGAAGGAGGGTGCCATTCAGATAGCGAGGAGACAAAAGCGTTGTGGCAAGAGAGCAGGAGTTCCTAAGGCCCCGGGTACCAGCCCATGCCGGATCTGCCCGGTCTGCGGGCGGAGATGGCGAGCTTCCAGTCCACAATAAATAGGAAAAACCTGAGTACACGGCGCATATGGCATCTATCTGCCTGGCAGAAGCATTTCCTTCCCACAAAAAAAAAAAAAAAAAAAAAATCCACCGACAGAGCCCTCCTGTCCCCCACCCCACATTCACCATTCCGGCCCCTGCCAGCCAGGTTTAGTCAGTGACAACCCTCCCACGCCGAGGCGGCGGGGACGGAGGAGCAGCGGCTCCCGCGGCCTTCCCGCGCGACGTCAGTGTCCGGAGCCATACATTTTGTCCCATTCCACGAACGTGTCCAGTTCCTTGGCGGAGGTCCTAGGGCCCACCTTGGACAGCGCCGCCTCCAGGTCCTTGTAGGAGAGGGGGCGCTGCAGCCCCGGGACGCCCGCCCCGGCCGCGGCCTGCTGGCACAGCTGCTCCAGCTCGCCACCAGAGAAGCCCTGCGTGCCCTGCACCAGCGCTGCCAGCTCCCGCTCACTGAGCGCGCAGCCCTGCTGGGCCAGCGCCCGCTGCAGGATCTGCCCGCGGGCAGGGCTGTCGGGCAGCGCCACGTAGAAGCGGAGAGCGAAGCGCCGGCGGGTCGCCTCGTCCAGAGCCGCGGGCCGCCAGGTGGTGCCTACGACCAGCACGCCTTCAGCCCCCGCGCCGCAGCCGCCATCCAGGCAGGCCAGGAGCGGCACCTGCAGCGCGCCCCCTGCCGCCGCGCCGTTGTCCCGGGAGGGGAGCAGCGCGTCTAGCTCGCTGATAAGGAGCACTGAGGGCGGGCGGCAGCGTGCGGCCGCAAAGGCGGCCTGGAGGAGGCGCGCGCCCTCTGCAGAGCCGGGCGCAGCCAGGGTCGCACCGCGCAGGCGCAGCAGCGTGGCGCCCAGTTGCGTGGCGAGGCAGCGGCCCAGCAGCGCTTTGCCCGCGCCCCGCGGCCCAAAGAGCAGGACCGTCCGCGGCGGGCGCAGGCTGCCCGGGTAGGCGGGCGGCCTGAGCAGGGGCCACACCAGCTCCTCCTCCAGCGCCGCCTTGAGCGCGCTCTGGCCCGCCACATCCGCCCACTGCACTGGGGGCCCGCAGTCCACCATCTTGCTCGTCACCAGCTCCAGGGCCCCAGGGTCCACGCCTTTGGGAGGCTCCCCCGACGGCACGGCAAAGCCCCCACGGGGAGCCGGGGCCCGCTCCGGGAACTTTTCAAAGGATTCGAGTTGCGGGCCGTACACGGCGGAGCCCAGGACCTTGAGGGGGACGCCGCCACCGTACTTGCCCGACGCCTCCTCCGCGGCTCCCGGCGGCTTGGCCCGGAACCCGTTGCCTCGACACTCGCCGTTGTCGGCGGCTGAGTAGGAGGCGCCGTCGGCCGCCGGGGCCTTGGCTGGCTCGTACACGTACTTGCGGTAGCGGCCCTCGGAGCCCTCGTCCGCGGCCTTGCGCTTCAGCGACAGTCCGGCCTCGGCGCCCGACGCGGCCGTGGGGAAGCCATAGGCGGCGGGCGGCGCGGGTGCGGGCAGGGGCGTGGGCGCGGGCAGGCCTGGGGTCAGGTAGGGGGCCGGGGGCGGCCCCGGGGGCGGCGGGAGCGCGCCGTAGCCGGGCTGCACCGCATAGCCCCCAGCGGGGTAGTTGTACAGCGGCGCTGAGGGCCCGTACCCGGGCGGCGGCGGGGGCTGCAGGAGCGCGGCAGGGGGCGGCGCGGGCAGCGCGGCGCCGGTCTGGGCGCAGTAGCCCGGCGCCAGGTACCCCCCGCCGTAGCCCGGCGCGTACTCGGGCGCCGCCGACGGGCCCCCGCACGCATTGCCGGGGTAGAGGGGTTCAGGGAGGTTCCCGGCTAAAACTGGGGAGCTCCCCAGGGCCCCGGAACCGCCCCCACCTCCCGACTTGGTTCCTGGGAGGCCCTCGTGGAGTGAGGCCAAGGGGTAGGGTGGCTCCGGCCCTGACCAGGGCTCGGGTTCCCCTTTGGCGCCGTTGAGGAAGGCGGCGTCGCTGTAGCCGCCCAGGGCGGGACGCTCGTAGGGAGAGTCCAGGACCCCCGAGTACTTCTCTGCATAGCGCTTTAGGAGGTTGGAGGCAGTGAGGGCGGATATGTCGTCGTGTGCCCAAGCGTAGTGGCAGCGTTGGCGACCGCCAGGGGGCAACTCCAATTTGTGGGCGGGCGACGGGGTGGTGGAGGAGACGTCCAGGTGTTGCTCTGGCCACTGGTTGAGGGGCTGGGCGTGTTCCGGTGTCCAGTGCATCTTCAACAGAGCTGCGGGCAAGAGACGAGAGGGCTGGTGACGTCGAGCTGCTGAGGACTCAGCGGGCCACTGCTAGGCCAGTCCGCCTAGACGGTGGCTTGTGACAGGCTGGGCTTCCGGCATCCACCACCTACCGCTACACTCTCCTGGGGCCCTCCCTCTGGGGACCAAATACCCGTTGTGTCCGATGATTAAAGTTGAGACTATTTTCTCAGCGCCCAATTGGGTCTGGAAACGATGTGGTTGGCCCTAACTTCACCTTGTAGGCAATGGTTATTATTTTTGTCCTGTCCGCTCCAGTCATGGCCTCTGTAGGCCACGTGATCCTTACTTTCAGACTTTACTTTCTAGTGAAGGATTGGACAATGGGTGGGACACCCCAGCCCTGGGAATAGTCAGACTCAAGTGAAGCTCAGCAGCAGATGTTTGTCACCCACCCACTGTGTGCTGGCCACTACAGAGGCACCAGGGTTATGTAAAGAGATGTATGAGGCCTGCCTGGAATCCCTGGCCTAGTGACCCAGAAGTTTGTTATTCCTAAATGCTCTGTTCACCTCAGCCTTTCCTGGATTCCAAGGCCCCCTCTGGCCTGAGATCAAAGATTCTGGTGTGTAGCACTACCTTATCCATGGTAAACCTCAGTGGCTGACCAGGAGCATGCATTTCCTTCCCACTTGGTTTTAGCTTCTGCCTGATGAAGTCAGAGCACCTGGATTCCAGACCCAGCTGCGTGTAATAGCTGTGTGCCTGTGGCAGGTGCTACCACCTGCTTCATTCCCAATAGGGCTCACCACAATACAAAAATATGTAGAACAGATGGGTCATATGCTGGAGAAGACGGGGGAAAGTTAATACACAACAATGCACATCATAGGATATGGGCCACAAATTTGTGTCTAAGCTTCTCAGTAGCCAATAAAGAGGGAGAGATAGGTAGTCAAAGTAAAAAACACCATACTTAAAAAAAGCAAAAGTGTTCCTCTCTTAAAGATCATAGAACTTTTTTTCGTGGTCCTCGGGAAGCAGACCTGTGAGATGTAATAAACAACCCCCTTCTTGCCCTCCATGCTGTGAACACAGCAGAGATGTTCCGTGGCTGTTCCTGATACTGTCCCTTAGCACCTCCCAGTATGAGCCAAACAATCTGGTAAAGGGGATCCGGGGCTTGGGCAATGGCTCTACCTAGGCATGTAGTTCCTGTGGGCCAGCCTGATGAAATATCTCAAAGGCTAAGAGGCCCATGGCACACCCAGAGACAGCTGATGCTGATGATGGTTTCTCAAAGCTCAGGTTTTGGTAAGTTTCTTAACAGGTTCACATATTCTCATGGGTTCAGTATTCTTTCTTCAACAGATTTTTAGGGAGCAAATCCCAAGTGTTTTGCTAGGCATGGGGAAAGATTGAAAGGTGAATAGGATGGTTCAGCCAGGTAGAGGAGACAGACAATGGCCTCTGTGAAGTGACAAAATGGAGGTATATACCAAGGGCACTGGGGCTCAGGGAACATCCCAAGGAGGTGGTGCCTTTGCTGGACCATGAAAGGTGAGGGATCAGGTCGACCAGACAAAGTGAGTAGGGCATCCCAAATCACAAGAACAGCACCTTCAAAGGTGCAGGGCACAGTGCCTTCAGAAAGCCAGGGCTGTGCTAGCTCACGTGCCATGTTCCCTTCCTCAAGGCACTTTACTGCCACCTTCTGGAAAACTGCTGTAAATCTAGTGTCTGCTGCCCTGAAATTGTGAATTGTGCCCTGTTAGTAGAGCTGTTGTGCACAACCGACGTAACCATACGCTTCGAGTCCGTAGAGAACATCAAGAAATATTGGGTCACCAGAGCTTTGACAGTGGGTGTTTATAGAAGAAGAGGCTGAAGGTAACCGGGTCTCTGCCCAGTTCTCCACAGCTGGCCTTCCTAGCAGCAGCTTGTTGACAGCACGCCACTCCTGTTGATGCTCTCTACTTCATGTGGCTGTGACCTGATATCAATGGCAGAAGACAGTCTTTGAAAGTAATTTACTCTCATCCCCACTCCCCTGGGAAGGCATGAGCCATAGATGTAAAGTTTAAAAAGGAAGGGACTGAGTTCTTGAGGTTGTCCCGCCCCCATGCGAGAGGCGATGCTGGCCACCAGGCAAGAGGGAGAACAGAGACTAACAGCTGAGTGTGATGTCCTTGGGGATAGATGTGCAGCCCTCCAGCTCTTGCTGAGGAGGCTCTCCAAAGATCAGAGACATTACCTGCTGTGAAAGAGGGTAATTTCCTGAAACATCAAAAATCATAAGTGGTTCTGGGTGCAGAGTCTTAGGAGGTAACATCAAAGTTATTGGCCTGGTGGCTCACATCTGTAATTCCCAGCACTTTGGGAGGCCAGGGCTGGCAGATCACCTGAGGTGAGAAATTCAAGACCAACCTGGCCAACATGGCAAAACCCTGTCTCTACTAAAAATACAAAAATTAGCTGGGCATAGTGGTGGGCACTTGTAATCCCAGCTACTCGGGAGGCTGAGGCAAGAATCACCTGAACGTGGGAGGTGGAGGTTGCAGTAAGCTGAGATGGCACCACTGCACTCCAGCCTGAGCAATGAGAGCGAGACTCCGTCTCAAAACAAAAAAAGTTACACAAATGCAAGTATTGTGTTACTACCCAGACCACAAATCTGGTTGTTTTTTTTTTCTATTCACTATTTTCTGTGCTTTGTTTCCTTACTTAATATGGAAAAAAGATATTTGACCTTGATGATAGCATTTACCCTGAGCATATTACACTGGACAAGCTGGGGAAAGGGCACAAACACAGTAAGTGAAGAAGGCTCAGACCTGGACTTGTCCAACAACATCTCCTTCCCCCTGCCAGCCCCCGTGCTCCTAATGCTGTCAGTGATGTCATCCCTCCCTCATCCCCCCAGACTTTTGAGCCAGGCTCCCTCTCACCAGCCCCTGGCCTGTCCTTCAGTAATCCTCAATCAAACTTCCACCCGCTAATGAGGATCCTCTGGCCCTGGCCAACACTGAGAACTGCTCTACCTCGGAAACTATGGACTCCAGTAAGCCACCTCCAGTCCTCCACCCCAGTTTCATACCTGCAATATCTCCTGTACTCCATGGCTCAGCCCCTCTCTCTAGCCCTTCCAGAGAGGGGACCTTGTCTATGACACTCCATCTAGACCACCTGATCTCGATCCTCAATCTTTAGATACTGGCCCTTCCACTCCAGGTAAATTTCCTCCCATTTTAGCCAGGGCAAAAAATGAAATCATTGGGTAAATCTCCCTTACCTCTGGCCCTCTTTTTACTTTTACATCTATATCCATCTTGTACCCAGAAAGCCTCAGGGTCCATCCACCCCAGCCCTTGGCCCCATCTAGGTACTGGGTCCCTCCCCACAATTAGTTTAATTCAGTCCCATCTTCAAAATGACCTCTTTTGACGCTGGGTTCCCCACTAGCTACCAGCTCATTCCTTTTTCCTTCTTCATCCTTCTTTAAGGTATCATTGTCTAGATGCAGGGACATGGCATCTGCTAGAGATCCTTTCAATAGTCTAACCGGGAAGCAGGACACCAGGTCAGCATCTTCTGCTAAACTAAGTTCCATAGCGCTACGTTTTCCTCTTAACGCCTTCCAAGAGAAAGAACTTAGCCACCCAAGGACCAGCCTCAACCTAAGGGCAGGAAGAGCGCAGAAGTTTGAGAAGAGTGGGCGAGGTTGCCTTATCTGCACACAGGCTCAGAATACTGTCTCACGTGAGTCTGAGTACACACCCAATATGCACGTGCACACCAGGGATGTGCATAGGTGTGCACAGCCGCAGGTACAGGTGCCTATGTTCATGCATGTGCCTGGCACGCACACATTTAAAGTGTGATCTCACTTGGGTGCTTCTTGAGAGGCCCAGGCCTGCCAGGCCCTCCTCCCCTTGCCCACCATAAGTGGAAAATGCTGTCTCCCCTCCCCCACCCCCAGGCCAGTTACAGCCCTCTTGCTTTCACACAGAGACCTTGGGCCTGCTGCCACTTTGCCTCCCACAGGGGTCTCAGGAAGGATCTCCCCAGGATGGGGACCCCCTGCTTCCTGTCCAGGTTCACAAGTCACCCTCCAGCGATCAGTGATGCTGGAGGTGAGGAAAGGCCCCAAGGACATGGGGAAAGTGTAGGCTTTGAATCCTCGAGACCTAATTTGAATCCAGGCCCAGACACACACTCTGTAACCCTGGCAGGTTGCCTGACCTCGCTCTTGCTGAACCTCAATTTCTCCATTTGTACTTTATTTTTATTATTATTTTTTTTTTTTTAGTAGAGACAGGGTTTCACCATGTTAGCCAGGCTAGTGTTGAACTCCTGGCTTCAGGTGATCCAGCTGTCTCAGCCTCCCAAAGTGCTTGGATTACAGGCATGAGCCACTGTGCCCAGCCAATTTTTCCATTTGTTAAAGGGCATAACATACGTCATGCTGAGTGGCTGTGAGGATTTAAAGATCATGTATGTAATGGACACAGGTGTGGGGCACAAATTACAAATTAACCCAAGCAGTGCCCCAACCTTGCTGAGTGATGCTAAACAAGTTATTTCCCCTTAGGGTTGGGGAAACTTGGTGAATGTTCTGTGAAAAGAGGTTCCTTCCAGTTCTAATGTGATGGGCTGGTGCTTACAACATTTCCCCAAAACTCAAGCACTGGGGACAGAACCAGCGCCTGTTCTGTTTTACATCTCTAATGCAGCCCTTGGGACAGCTCTGAGATCAGTACTGTTACTGTCATCCCCAGTCTACAGATGAGGGGACTGAGGCACAGAGATGAACAAATCTTCAGGGTCACATGATTGTGACAGAGTGGAGACAGGACTCAAAGCCCAGGCCCAGAACCACTTGCCTGCAGGGGCTCTGTGGCCCAGGCCTTTGTTCTTACAGTCAGAGAGAAGCCTGAGGCCATTCCACACTGCACACCTACTCTCCCCAACACACTTCCTGGGCCTGTGGAAACAGTGGCTGTGCCCCAGGTGCTATGTATTTACCCTT